ATCTTGTGGCAACCCCAAAAACAAAAGCATACAGATCTGAAGTTTGTGACTTTCTTTTGATTTTACAAGGTATAAGGTAAAAAAAAATATCTAAAATTAGGGGTTTTGGTCTGCTAATACTTTATATTTTAACCAATTCAGGTGAAACTTTGCACAAAAATTCTCTCACAGACTGAAGCAGATATGAAATTTGTGCCTTTCTTGCAATATTACAGGGAATAAATGTAAAACAAAAACTGGAAAGTCAAGGCTTTAGGCCTGCCATTTTTCTATATTTCAACCAATCTAGATGAGACTTTGTACAAACATACTCCCACAGACTGAAATAGATATGAGATTTGTGTCTTTCTTGTAATTTTGCAGGAGTGAAAGATAAAAAAAAAATAAAAATTCAGGCTTTAGGCCAGCCATTCCTTTATATTTCAACTAATATTGAGACTTTGGACAAAGATACCTTGCAAATAGCCCCCACAGACAGATTTGGGATTTGAACCTCTCTTTTATTTTACTAGGGATGAAGACAAATAAAATACAATGTATGTAATAGGGAGCTCTGGTCTTTGAGACACTGTCTGCATATATAAATGTTACAAGCTGTTATTGATAGTGTTTTGATTCACACAATACATGAAATTACATATACCATGTCAAAAAAACAGTTATATTTGTACACACATTACTTGTAAATTGGTATCATTGTAAATAAAACTATTTACACAGAAACTGACTTGAATATCATTCTCTCTTGAAATCTACTATATTTTGAGAATCTTAGTTAATAAGATGGATGTAGTGGTGGGAGAAGAGACGTTTCATTAGTTTGCAGGTGTTTGCCCTTTTAAAAGTACTTCAGTTTTTGGATCAAGAAAAACAATGTATAATATTAAAACTCTTGTAAATAAAGTTACCATCTAAATTGTGTCATATATCTTTCAAGTAACATTATTATTAATGACATACCTTGAACAGCTAAAAATATTAAAACATTTGATAGTATTATTATATAACCAATTCATAATTCTTTCAAAAATTGCCGAGTTTTATGGTAAATATCAAGGATTTAACATATTTTCTATTGTTTATGAAGGAGTTTGATAACAAACTAAAAATTATGTAACAAAAATTTGAACTGACCTTGCAGTTTACACAAACTCCACCCCCTTCATATTGACCTTTAGCATTTAAACTTCCATTTCTAGCAGCAACATCTTCATCATAGATGCATTCATTAGCATGGTCAAAGCACTCACACTCTGAAACAAGGTAAACATTACAAGTGATATACACAGTATTTCAGCACTCACACTCTGAAACAAGGTGAACATTACAAGTGATATACACGGTATTTCAGTATTCACACTCTGAAACAAGGTGAACATTACAAGTGATATACACGGTATTTCAGTACTCACACTCTGAAACAAGGTAAACATTACAAGTGATATACGCAGAATTTCAGTATTCACACTCTGAAACAAGGTGAACATTACAAGTGATATACACGGTATTTCAGTATTCACACTCTGAAACAAGGTGAACATTACAAGTGATATACACGGTATTTCAGTATTCACACTTCTTGTTGTTGTTTTTTGTTTCAGAGTGTGAATAATTAAATAACATGTATATTAGTGATGTATATATATATATAAGCATATTTTACTGTTTACCATTTGCACGTTGAAATCAATGTTAAACATCCTCTATATTTCACATTTTCTGTATACGAAGAAAAGCATCATATTCTTACAGCATATTTTTGTTTTGAATGCTATAAAATGATTGTTATATAAATGAATACAAATTAATGACACAACTTTCTTCACTCCTTTTTGAAAGTAAATAAAAAATATTAATTAAAGAAATTACTTTCACAAGCAGCTCCATCTATATTCGTGCCAGCTCTCCATGGTTCTTGGTTGTAAAAAGGACAACAGCTGTCACACCTGTCTCCACATGTGTTGTGTCTACACACACAGCGAAACTCCTGAAAAGAAATTAGATTCAATGTGATCCATTAACATTTTTTCCTTTATTAAGTGATAATTATTATTTCCACGACCCATTTGTAAACATTTCCGTATTTATGATTTACAGTCATGTAAACTGGTGGTTTTGCCTGCGATATAAAAACTTTGAAATTACCCTATTCTGAGTACATGCCATATTTTCATACATATGTTTGGGCCTACATAACTTCAATAGTATTAGAAACACTGATGTTCATAGACCACCAACACTTTAATAACATCTAGGTTAGTGAATTAGAAGTGCATATTACTTTTTTGTTCGTCTGTGAAAACTAATTCACTGTACAAAAAACACAAGTGTAGAGGACGTTTCCAAATGTTGTCTTTTACACTTGTGTTTTTTTCTACAACAGGCATCTGCCAATCATTGCAGTGTACTACTCACGAATACTCTGCCTAAACAATCTATCAAAAATTACTTTACTATTTTTAAACCTACAGTTAAACAGAGAAATGAAAGCTATAGCTTTGACATGCAGGTCAAATACCCATTCATGAGTTCGAAATATAACAATACAGCTACCTTTTATTCATTGCCAAAAATAAACAATAAATAAATGTTCTTGATATAACTTTCTTTCACAAATTTCACATTTACTGGTTGTTTGAAGCTTTATGGTGCAAAGCAACTAGGCTATCTGTACCAAACAACTGTTAAAAATGCAAAAAGAAAGGGGGCAAACTGAAGAAGATAGGTTCACCTTTCGAAAGCACTCGGGTTATAGTGTTTATATTCATTTCTATCAAGACTTCTTGAACCTACGCATTTTTCTAAAATCATGAACACAAGGATAGGTAGTACTGCTTTTTTTTTATCTCTTTCATTGCCATAATTATATAAACAACTGTCCCGGTGTCAGGTTTACTTTTAGGTCTACAATATAAAATAAAAAAAGACACATTTTGATATTTTGTCACTTATTTGAAAGAGTTGAAAAGCTAATACAATAAATACAGAACATAATGTTTAACTAAGACCAGTACTTTGTAAAAGCAAGTATTGGAAAGATTTCTGAAAAGCATAGTAGCATCAAACTTTTGTTAATATGCCAGATTAAGATGAACCATTTAAAAATATTCTAATGGTAATTACTGGAGATTATTAAAGCTGTCTAATTAATTTGAAAGACCAACATATCTTCAAAAATGACACCAATGAACAAAAACACTGAACTTACACCAGTGCTAGAGTCCACTGGACACTCCTCAGCATGACCAAAACATAAACATTGACCACCAATGGAGATGTCTTTGATGGAATAGAAATACTAGAAAAGAAACCAAAATCAAAGCTATACCATCTACAGCGACATTAAAAGATACATGCCATTCAAAGTCATCTAATAAAAATCAATCCTCAAATTTTATAAAACAAACCAATTGTAAAAAAAAATACTTAAAGTCCATAGCTAACAAAGATACCTTTCTCTTTTATAAAGCTCATAGCCAACAAGTCTAGTTTTTCTTTTATATAGCTCATCGCTAAGAAGTCCACTTCTTTATCTTATATACACCATAACTAACAAGTCTACTTTGTTTTATAAAGTCCATAACTAACTAGTCCACTTTGTTTTGTAAAGTCCATGACTAACAAGTCTACTTTGTTTTACAAAGTCCATGACTAACAAGTCTACTTTGTTTTATAAAGTCCATAACTACCAGGTCTACTTTGTTTTATAAAGTCCATGACTAACAAGTCTACTTTGTTTTGTAAAGTCCATGACTAACAAGTCTACTTTGTTTTATAAAGTCCATAGCTAACAAAGTCTACTTTGTTTTATAAAGTCCATAACTAACTAGTCTACTTTGTTTTATAAAGTCCATAACTAACTAGTCTACTTTGTTTTATAAAGTCCATAGCTAACAAGTCTACTTTGTTTTATAAAGTCCATAACTAACTAGTCTACTCTGTTTTATAAAGTCCATAGCTAACAAGTATATTTCTTTATTTTATAAAACCCATAATTAACAAGATTTTTTTAATTGAAAACATTTCTCTTTTAGTATGATTCCACAACTTTCACATATACATTTGCATCTGGTTTACTGTTATGAAAAGAATAAGTTCAAATTTTTATGGTTTCGAAAACTCAATTGTATTTTTACTACTTATTTAAAATTTTTAGTTCTTCCATTCTGTACATGTATTGGTGTAACCTTAAGCCCACTTTTATGTTTTAGTTTTTTATCTGTTTTTATGCAGTAGTGTGTTTACTAGTGTTGCTTTTTATCAGTAAAAGCTTTTAATTTCAAAAACGTTTTAAATATTGAATTGTCCAAAAATTCATTTTACAAGTGAAATATATTTATCAAAATAAATCTTTATTTTTATCAGTCTCTACTTGTTTTTTTCTTTCCTAGATTTTAGAGATAACATTTTGACACAAAAAAATCTCTAAACTCTAAGAATGATACTTATGTGTTGTTGTATTTTTTATATTCTTACTCGTCTTGTCACAGATTTATCTATCTTTTGGGGATCATCTGTTTGTAGCGACATTAAGTCTGCATTTAAGGTACGGATTTTCTGAAGACGAAGCCTAACAAAACGAGCAGTGGTAAATTCCTGCAATAAATTAGTATAAACAACAAATATGTACTAATTTCAAAACTTTCAAGTTCAACAGCTTTCACACACAAAACCACATTAAGTTCAAAGTAGAAAATCTTTTGTGGATGTAAGGCTTAGGAGAATCTATACTTTTCAACTCTAAACAAAATTTAACACAGCAAGTTAGAAATGAACACTAATTTTAATAACTATTGTTAAGGAGTTATTTATACATTTCATTCATTGTGCAACATGTTTAGTTATGGTTTATGTTATGATAAAATTAAATGTTTTTTGAAAATGCTCAAAATCGAAAAAAAATACTTTCAACTACTTATACCTAATATTTCATTGTTTTAAAAATCAAACAAATGTGATGAAATGCAGTTTTGAAGAAAAACATGTTTTCAGGTACTCAACAAGTAGTAATTGAACTGCTCCAAAACTAACAAGTCTTTTATCATCCTTTCCATCACTAGATATTAGTAAAACAAAATACCAGGAAATCATGCTATTAATAATACCAGGTAACAAAATGTCGTGTGATAATAAATGTCAAAGCATAACTTCAGAAACCATCTTGTAAAATACAACGTTCATTGTGAGAAAACAAAAGGCTGTCAACTCTTTTGTTGCCACATTTATAGACAACTCTTCCAGCACTAGTTTTATTTTTAGGTACACAATAAAAAATAAAAAGACAAGTTTTAGTACATCATTACTTTTTAAACTTGAAAGCAATAAACTTTAGGAAGTAGGACGAGGAATATTCATTTTTCATAACGATACAAAATTATAAAATCTCCTAGTAATGTTCTAGAGGGTGACATATATATGGCAGTGAAAGGTTAAACACACTAATAACACCTCTTAATGTAAACTTACTCTTAAAGAATTGCTGGGACCATCAACTCCTGGCCTTCCATTAACTAGGGATGTGTGAATCTGTTAACAAATACATAGAATACATTTCCTTAATATCTTTCCAAAACTATCCATTTCTACTGACTTATTTCAATATTAAAATTTCCTTGAAAACCATTCGATGAAATCTGTAATTGATTCGATCAATACAAAACCTAGTTTTAACCAGAGAAAAAAAAAAGAATGGTAAACTTTTTCTAATACATACAAAAACAATAATTTCAGTATTTAATTAAAATTACCTAGAAAGGACTTATGGATTTTTTTCATATAAGATCCATTTGTTGTTCAAAATATTAATGTTTGTTTTGTTTCTTTGAAGTTAAGCACAAAGCTACACAATGGACTATCTGTGCTATGCCCATTGCAGGCATCGAAACACAGTTTCTAGCATTGTAAGTCTGCAGACGTATCGCTGTGTCACTGGGGAGCATGTTTGTTTTAAAAGAATATAATTCATTTAAACAAAAACAGTATTAGCTCATTCCAATCAGAAATGTTAAATAATTCCAGATACACCAATTTAGTCTGTGCCACTCCCCTCCAATTATTCTCATTTGAAATTGCTGAGTTATTCATCCAATCTATAAATCATTAGTGTTTTTTTTTTCTTAATGATAAAGATGTTACAAAAACAATACCTGAAATTAACCTTGAAAGATTTAGATAAAATACAAGTCTTCAAGGATGTTTAAATTGTTTCATCAATATGAAAGGCATTGTTTTTTAAAATCCATATATTTGATTACAATTGCAAAATGATTGGCATAATACTTGTAGTAATTTTTTTTTTTCAGTTCACTCATCATACTCCAGGTTATCAAGCGAAACAAAGCATTCAAGATCTATGGGGGCTGAAAAGTAACTCTAGGGTTTCATGAGTAGCATTTCACTGGTCCCCTGGTAGGTTATTAGTAAGTTTACAGACTTACAAGACCAAAATTCGAGGTTTAAATCCCTAGAGTGGTCAGAGTGCAAAGAGCCATTGTGTAGCTTTGCATTATGAATAAAAGAACAGCATCTCAGTGCTAAACTTTATTTATATTATGATATATAAATCATCTATCTACCACTTTAGATATAGAACTAAACAAGTTCAAACCTCTCCATTTTCTAAAGGATTCAGTTTTGAGTAATAAGATGTGCAGATGACTTCATCATCAGTACGATAGCGAGGTGCACCAGTTGTTGGACGAATACCATATACTTCCCAACATTCGGCATCACTGATGGCATAATACTGCCAAGGCTTGTAGTTGACACCATCAAGAGATCTCTCAAGGACCCAGTTACCAGGACGTGGAGATACTGCTGCTTTGATGATGATGTAAGCTATCTGGTAGGTCTGTGGAAAAGAGGAAAAAAACTTGATTACTTTTAAATACATTAAACACCACTTGTGCATATTTATAACATTACAAATAATGCAATGTTAAATAGTTGCACAATAAATAAGATTTATCTAAAACAGGGCATTATTTTTATCTTAAAATTATGAACCTATATACTATGTTCTTTCTGTGTAGTAATGGTTGGAATGTTTAATATATCTATACTTTCATTATAAAGATTGTTTACATTGCTAGCTTATTATATGTATTTAGAATTAAATTAAATCTCCTAAACTGGCTGAACCTAGTGAAACATTAACAGGTAGAAACGTCATTAACTGTTAGGCTACTCATTTAATAAAGCATTGCATTCTATCCTTTATGAGTAGATATGTGGCACAGTACATTTAATTAGCTATACTGATGGCCAGCTCAATTTAAATTTAGCTCTAAGTATACAAAGCATACTCTGATCAAAAATTATTATTATCTACTACAGAATCACTTAAAGCAACTTACACCTAAGCTATGAAACAAGGTCTCAAATACTTGGGAAGAATCTTGGAAAAGTTCTAAGTAACGACGAAAACACCAAAAATTTGAAGAATGCAAGTCAAAAATTCAGGTCTATTGAAGGATGAATAACGAAAACAGTTTTAACTTGTTCTCAAACTTTCAAGTAAACTAGATGATTTTTATGGAATTTTTACTGAAATCCTAGATGAATAATCAACAGAAAGAAAAAAAGTATTTTCTGACCTCAAACCACACTGTAATACTTATATGGAAACATCGAAAGGGACTGAAACATTGAATCACAGGTTAACTAATCTTCCTCAAGGAAGAAAATATACTACACTACAATGGTTACTTTTAAAATATTAGTTCAAAACTCCAGTCATTATCATAATTTCAAAATTTTGCTTAATTGAAAAGAAAAAATAGTTTGAAAAATAACATTTTTAAGCTATATTTTATTTTACAGGTTACAAGATTATTAGCATCCAAATGAAAGATAAAAGAAACAAACCTGTTTCAGATCAAGTGTAATGGTAACCCATTCAAAATGTTTTCCATTTTGAAGTGTGGGGCTCTGCCACCAGCTATTGGTTCCATCTATGGCATTTATAATTGGATGTCGCTTATCAGGGTCAGAACTGGTGGTATCACAAACTCCACACTGTTGTTGCCTACTTGTATAACACGATGTTAATATATCAGAACAACAAGACATACAGAACTCTGATCTGACTTAAAACCTAACGAAGAAAAATCATAATATAAACAAATTCACACCATGTTTACTTATTGCTTTTAATGCTGGTGATAATGTTGGTGTAGGTGATAATTTGTTCTCTGAAAGTGTATTGGATATTTTTAAGAGGTGAGGTGGGGGTGTAGCCCTTACAAAAAAATGTAAATTGTGCAAGAAAATAACAACAGTGAGCTATAATGAGGAATACAATTTGCTCTGATATAGATAAAAGTATATTTGGGAGTATTAGGGGTATATGACCCCCTTCCTAAATTTACTGTTAACAGACATACAATGAATAAACCAAATATGCTATGAAAACATCATTTTAGTGTCAAACATTCCTGAGCAAGTAACTACCAGGATAGGACCATCACAGGTTTGTAGCAAATTGAAAACAGTGCACAAGGCTTTGATAGAAATTCTCATAAATAAATGAACATTACAATTAAACCTGTGATGCAATTACCAATAATCAATAATGACTGTGAAATATACCACACAATGATTTATCTTTGAAATATTCTTTACTGCACAATGTCCTGCCTAAAGATTACAGATTTATTCAGTGCTGTATATTAGTATATAATGCTAATATAACATCATTCATTAATGGTATATCATATGCTAGGATAAAGCTTATAATGTTAGGTCTATTCTAAAGTATTGAAAAACCTACATCTAGACCTAATGAACATGATCTAGTTGGTTCAATCAATTTTCTTAAACCTCACTGAAAATTCTCATCATTAATTTGTAAGTTACATAGTTATTGGTAACGTTTTTATAATTAGGCAGTACTGCATACACCGGTATATTCAATTTTATCTTGTTTTACTAAATTTATAATAAGACAATGCTAGTCAAAATAACTACAGTGAACATAGTAAACATTACAGAACCAATAGTAAAATGCTTCTACTCTAGTAGTTTTTCAGGATGAGAAAGTATTAAAAAGCAGGAATATGGAATCAAAAGTAACATTTCATGATTTACAAAAACTATTATTATTATTATTACATACTATACTGGCCATGACTTTATGTCTGAATAATAATAAAAGAATAGCCAGTATCTATGGTATGGAAATGTATCATTAGCAAGTGTGGCAACAGAACAGTGTCCTGGCCCATCATCAACAAGTGTGGACACTGTTCTGATGTCTGGACCATCATCAACAAGTGTGAAATCAAAACAGTGTCCTAAATTTCTGAATATTAATGAGTATGCTACAGGAATTATATCACTGATGATAAAAAGATAAGATTTATTGAAGTAAGAATCCCCTCACTGCCAGTGGAATAAAGGATGTGGTACATATGAGGAAGTGTTAAAGAGGCTGGTTCATCAGTTAACTCTTCACTCATATTTTAAGAAAGAGGATAGACTCTACTGCCTCCCATGCATCTCTTTTCCATTAAAACCAAACATGAGAAAAAGATGGAACACCAAGCCATTTTCCTGTATGTCTAGAAGAGGGCATGAACTCTGGAAATCTACAGAAGTAAAGGCATTATTCAACTGATCTCATAATTATGTTTACCTTTCATTCCCTGTTATGATTCTATTTAAGGCATTGTCACTGACAATAGAGTTATCAGGGATGATCAACAGTATGTTAACTATGCTAAAGTCCACAGTGACACCGTTTCTACACTGTAAGTATTGAAGTTATTAATTCCCAGAAGATGCAATAGGCAAACCAAGAAAACAAATGTCCCAGCCAGCACTCCTGAAGAATATTAGAGAAAGGCAGTATTCCCAATATTCCTAGATGTCCTCATTATAAATACAGAGCAGAGGTTCAGCATACTAAATAGCAAACCATTTTGTGGTCTCTCCTTTCTGAAAAAAGACACGAAGAATTTGAAAACTACATACAATACTGATCTTTCAAGTCCCTCAATCTAACATCAGTAAGTGTGATTTTGAAGATTCAAGTGGCTCTTCAACCATTCAAAGCTCCAGACTCTTTTAAACTATTTGTTTGAAATGAACAGAATGCAGTATTCCAATAACTATGCCATATTCCACCTATTACTACTGATGTCTATGCCACAGTTACACACATTCATTCTGCCCTCAAAGGTATTAAAACAGAGGTAAACATCATACAATTTGGTCTGCCAGCTCATTTTGTATGGCTCGTGACACGAAATTATAGTGCGCAAGGTTGAACGTTTTGTTTGTTTTTTAAATTTGATGGAAATATTTTAACTCCCAAAGAGTGTTGTCCATTTCATTCATTAGTTTTAAGTGTCATATCACTATACAGTTATAGGCTCATTGTTGCATCACACAGGGTTCAACAGAAGCAGGTAAAACAATCACGAGATCTTAGTTGGTTTTAGTGAATGCAGCATTTTCTAATTGTATATCTAAATTTACATTTTAACCGTTAGAATCTAAGGGTTGCTGGGTAAGTTCAATAAAATCTCTTTTGCTTACACTTTCCAACATAAAATGACGTTATATCATATATCATTTGAAGGAATTGGACTAATAAGCAGTTGTATGCAATTGCTTCAGTAATTAAATACAAATTAAGAAGAAACTATTTAACAGAAATTTCTTGATATGGCACTCACGTAAGGAGAAATAGGGTAAAATATATTACCTACATTATGAAATTGGGCAAGAACTAGGCAGATTACAGCATTGAGAATCAGGAGTGATAAAAAAACTCATGCCAGGTACATCCATGAGGAAGCTTTAAAAAAAAAGAAGATAGTAATGAGTTTGACAGTGACAAACTGATGACACCACTCTAGTAGAACAGTAAACATCACTAAAGTTAGAGGCAAGAATTGGGACTTTGATGTGGGATTAATAACCAGAGAAGCCTGTAGCAGTACAAGTGAGCAGGCAGCCAATTCACTAACCATGACAGCAACCAATCACCAGGGAATTTTTGTTGTTTTTTCTGGAAAGTCCTGATGAGTTGCATACATCAATCAATAAAGTGTAAGATCTACTTGCAAATAGAAATGTATACTATTTGGAAACTCGCAAGGATACTATGAAAGAATCATTTTAAAAACTCCTGACTGGAGCTGAAAAGTCAGATTTTTTGATACTATCAAAGAATCATTTTAGAAACTCATGTCTGGAGCTGAAAAGTCAGATTTTTTGTAGCTCTTCCAAGTTGTTTCTAACTGCTGAAGTTCTGTTCAAGATGCTGAAGTTGTTAAACTTACAAAAGAGGCCAGAACACCATCTCAAATTTGATGCAAGTTATATTTCTATTTTTCTCAATTAATTAATGTAGTTTAGGAACTAAAGCAAAATGTATAAAAGAAACTAATAACTCTAAGTATGTCTGAGTATCATTCACATAGTGTGTTGATCGAGAGTTTACTAAGGATAATAGGTAAGTTAATAAATCTGGTAAAGGAATTACTTATTGAAATAGCCAAGCTGTTGACGTGAGAAGTTGTATTTGTATAAGTGAAAAATTATTAAAATTTGATGTGTTTTGTGGAATATCAATCTCCGAGTCATTCTAAACTTCCTTTAGTTCGTGACTTGTGTACCCCACTTGCGACTGTAATTCTGGATTTAATATAAATCTATAGTGACAGGTGGCAAAGTCAAGCTCCAACGGCTAGCCTCCATGCCTGTCTGTCACACATTGTACGAGGCCTGTGAGAAAAGTACCCGACCTTTGGCCGGGGAATAAAAACTGGCATACCTGGAGCGTTGGAAACCTAATCATCCTCAAAGTAGTCTCCTTGGGACTCCACACACTTCTCCCAGTGGTGCCGCCATTGTTGGAAGCATTCTGAGAAAGCCTCTTTCGAAATGGAGTTTAGCTCGGCTGTCGTTGCAGCCATAATGTCCTCTCTTGTCTGAAATCACGTTCCTTTCAATGGCCTCTTGAGTTTGGGGAACAGCCAGAAGTCGCAAGGAGCCATATCAGGAGAGTAAGGAGCCTGTTGAACCACAGGAGTCTGGTTTTTTGCCAACAAAGTCTGAATCAAGTGCGAGGAATGTGCTGGAGCATTGTCGTGATGGAGGCGCCAATTTCCTGTTGACCACAACTCCGGTCTCTTGCGCCGCACAGCATCATGTAGGTGACGGAGGACATCCCTGTAGTACTCGCCATTGAAAGGAACACGATTTCAGACAAGAGAGGACATTATGGCTGCAACAACAGCCGAGCTAAACTCCATTTCGAAAGAGGCTGTCTCGGAATGCTTCCAACAATGGCGGCACCGCTGGGAGAAGTGTGTGGAGTCCCAAGGAGACTACTTTGAGGGTGATTAGGTTTCCAACGCTCCAGGTATG